TGGTGGTGGGGCAAAGGGTGGAAAATGGAGGACATATCTAATAATGCTAACAATAAATAAATAAAAAAGATGAGCCCTTATATTTGAATGCCAGTTTTCGAAGCCAACAAAGCCAAAATAATCTCTTTTTTTTCATCAGTTTAAGTCTGTGGGGTAAAGAGACACTGTTGTCCCCATTTGGCAAATAAGGTAACTGAGACTTACTTAACTGACTTGACAACATCATAAGCCTAGTCAGTAGAAAATAACTGCCAGTAGAGCTTGCAGGGAGCCCACGATTCTTAACGTTTATTACCTTCATTACCTTTTCTCACTTGTAAAACTGAAGCCTGATATGATGTGCTTCATCCACTTTTGGTATTCAACAGTCAGTGATAAAGTTACTATTAGAAGACTCCTTTACCCTTGGTATGGTCACTTTTAAAAAAAGTTTCTTTTCCTACAGTTTCAAAACTAATATTAAATAAAACAAAATTAAAATAATTGATTTTGGGATAGAGGCCTTTCTCTTAATTTCCTCTTCATTTTTTCTCTTCAGAGATGTTAAAAGTATTTAGTTTTTGAATGAAAATGGCTCATTAAATCTAGCCAAATGGATGGAATGGATTATCTTATTCAGTAGACATTAGTTGAGCATCTCTTAAATTCTAGGCAATGGGCTTTGTCCTAGGGATATAGAGATAAATAATCCCCAGGTCCTAGCTCATAGAGCTCATGGACTGGTGGGAGAAGCAAGGGAAGCAGACAGTAGATACCCATGTAACTTTAGGTCTAGGCCATAAAGAAGGGAGGTAAAGAACTTAAAGACTTGGTTAGAGGAGGTAAAGCCTTGGACCAAACCAGACTGAGCAGCTTTTATTTTACTAAAAAAAATACCTCAGAAGAGAATCCTTTGTGAAGCACCAATCATGGCATCCCACATGTCAATAGAAAATATACTGTGCTTGTTTATGAATTGGGTTGCACAACCAGAATGTAGCTCTATAGCATAAATTAAAATAATATTGAGCCCTGACCAGTGTGGTTCAGTGATTAGAGTGTTGGCCTGAGCACTGAAGGTTGTGGGTTCGATTCCTGGTCAAGGGCATGTACTTGGGTTGCAGATTTGATCCAGGCCCCAGTTGGGGCACATT